CCAGTTATGTGCACCCCTGCCTATACGGTCATCCGTTTCATAGCCCCGCCTCTCCCCGCCTCTGCTGCTCACCCCCGCAAAAGTACACTGCACACTGAATTCAGATTATTTATCTTTATATCGATATGGACATAAACGCGAGTGAAGTCTAATCTGACAGGACGGAGACACGCAGCTCCTCCCGCTGTGATGCAGCGGGAGCAAAACACACACTTCAAGTCAGATCATCACCCTTAGCTATTTTAATTATCTCTCAAACTAAACTAGTTATAAATATGTTTATTTTTACTGTCGAGTCATCATTACTGGATCAGCTGCTGCATGAGACAGACACTGACGCTGTCAGAAGAGAGGAAAAAGAGACAGGCTCTGTGTATTTTATTATCATATATCATTATATCGTCGTTATTCATTTGTTTTAAAGCTCAATAAATAACAAAGAAGACCTTTGACCGGCACTTTTATAATTTTGTCCGGAAGATTTAAACTTTAACGCACGTTGACCGGCGAAAAACTCTGCCCGGATCCCTCGGCCCCCACCGCGGAGAATAAACAGAAGTGCAGCCATGACAACCACTCTTCTTCGCTGCTTTTGTGGAGGAAGTTGCTGCTTTTGTGGAGGAAGTTACAGCGCCACGTACAGGCTCGGCATATGTACTGCAGCTTTTCCAGCGGTTGGATGTAAACGGAGCCGTCCCGTGGAGCTTGACACAATCCGGTGTATATTGCGTGGGGACGGAAGGTTTTTTGCGGTTGCGTTTGCGTTACTCCGATGCGTTTTGCCGTATGGGTTCCCGTGGAGCCGGGGCCTCAGACCTGTTTTAGTGTTTAGTTAAATACCTCTTATGGTCTGTTTTGCCATGATTCGTGTTTCCCAATGGCACATTTGTCCTAAGAAAGATATCTCGGTTGGAAAATACATTTTCACGTTTGCTCACATTCTTCACAGCCACCATAAATGTGTGTAAGAATATACTGCTTTTTTACAACCTTTTTCAATTTTAGAAACTGAAAGACTATACAAAACATTGCTAACTTGCAACCTGCTTGCTTCCTACTCAAAACCAGAGGCAGGTTTTTATTACAACCCTCGTGACTTTGTTACGTCAAGAGAAATGTTGTCGTTTTTAAGCACATTTTGAGCATTGTCAACACAGTGTGTTAAACCTGTCCAATAGGAATGATCTTACTGTGTTTTTGACAGTTCTCTGGTAAAAGTTGATGAACAGGTTACTCTTGTCAGCCTCAGCTCTCAGAGATCTCGGATGTTTGAGGCGTTACTCAAACTGTCAACTAATGTTTGAGTTTGATATTTTCAATGGTTGCCTGTTTTGTATTTTTAAATTGATATCTTTAAAAATACAGGAGAAGATTACTCTACATTGGAAGCTAATGGGGCTCCAATTACAAAACAAACATGATCCCATTCAACACACCTGGATGTTCTAAATTATGGGACGTAATGAGTGATATAAGTGATTGTATTTGTTACCAGCGATAGCTACGTTACTTTTATTTCATTTTAGGTCAATAGCACCCAACAGCTAGTTTGAAATATGTCCGGTTATTGTGTGGCTTTATGGGATTTTTCAGTAAGTATGATTTTCTCAGAAACAGATTTTTGTATTTTTTACAATTTCTATCCCTTAAGTCACTGTCAGGTTTATTACGAGTTGAAGTCTCACAGTCTGAGAACTGGTTCCTTTGGTTTGGCTTTTTAGTGGTGTCAGAGGTTCCAGGCTGAAGTGCACTGAGTGAGAGAAAAGATGATTACTGCCTCTTGTCAACAAGCTGTCACTCCAAGACACCACTTATGTGATACATCGCTCAGTTTTAGCTTAGTGTGTTTGTGTGAGTTTCTTCCATCTTTCATCTACCATTCTTCTATGTGAAGTTAACTATGATATATCAATCCTTTAAAAACAGCTGTTTAGTAAGTTCAGTTAAGGCTGAAACCACTGACAGCAGGAAGTCATTTTGTAAGCAAAACACCACTGTGTTAATAGTGTTTCTCCTCGGGCAAATAGTAAATAGGGGGAAAGACAATGCTCCTCTTGCATATCTAGTGGTTCTTAACTATTGTATGCAAATGTGCGCCTTTGAAGTTTTGAAGTTATGGCTATGACTTGGAAATAGGCCAGTACCATTCAGAGGGTGCAACCCAGTCTCACGGCATTTCGTGTATAGTCACGAAATGTAATCTATTAATTTGTGTTCACCAACACGAATCAATAGATACATTTCATGACTATAACACGAAATGCCTTGAGACTGGGTTGGAGGGTCAGTGGTTTGATACCCAGCCCCTGCAGTCAACATGTCAAAAGTGTCATGCACGTCTATGGTAATGAAGTATATATAAGTCACGTTGCATAAAAGCATTAGCTAAACCACTTGTGATGTAAATATGTGACTTATGGATATTTTGACAATAGGAAAAGCACAAGGACATTAAATTAGATGCTACTTCAGGGTTCTTTTGGGCCTTCTGGCTCTCTGTAACCCTCATGACTTTCTAAGACACTTGAATGAAGCACAGCTTTTGTTAATGTTATTAGTTACACCTGTGCCTTTAAGACAAGTAAAAAAAAAACATTGTATTCCCGGAGGATGTGTTGTACCATCCCATTTAGTACGAATATGCTCCGCCACATTACTTCCTCTAATGTCACTAACCCTAACCAATGACCAGCAACTAATTACTCTATGACACCATTTCCAGAATTTCTTTTCATAAGGAAGCAAAAATAAGTTCCACTGCATCATAGTTTTGTGATTATGTGTGAAATCCTCCCTCTGTGTTGTCCGACCCATGACGAAATATGAACTGTATGATGATTGCTTTGTAATCAGCTTTAATTTAACTCTAATTATATTACCAATTAGATTTGAGTTTTACTTATTTTGTATTTCAGTTTTATTCTTTATTTATTTTCCTTTGTTATGATTTACCTATACTTTATGTAGAAATATGATTTTATATTCGGAACAGATTACAAATGTGTTAATGAAATGAATACACGATGAATAAAATATATTTTGTAACCGGGCTAATCTGAAAAAACAGCTGACTATCAGCAAAAAAGTGAAACAGCATGGGAGAAAGACGCTCAATAGATACTACAGATACCACAAGAAGGTTACATCTGTGTCTATTATAAGTGACCAGATACTAGGGTCCATCAAGGCCTTTTGTGAGTCAGCTTACATAACAGAGACCCTCCCTAAACCCCTTTAAACACACACACACACACACACACACACACACACACACACACACACACACACACACACACACACACACACACACACACACACACACACACACACACACACACAGAAAATGGTCCTTGAGTCAGGGCCAACGTTGGAAAGCAGAGCGGCTGAGAAAGCGGCTGGTTGCCCCCCAGTGATTACGGTGGAGAAAAGACCCCACCCACCGCCCCGCTCTGCTCAGATAACAGGCCCGTTGTTGGACGAAGGACCCAAACAAAGACGACCCTGTCCCTCTCCTCACGCCCACCCCGCTCTCTGTCTCCGAATACGAGCTTTGATTTCCAGCGTGGTCGGCCAACAGGTATCTCTAACCCTGAGATTATCTGAACCGCTCCCTCCATCTGCTTCCTTCCAACCTCCCCTCCATCCTCTTGGTGCTACAACATAATCCTGAGGACACACAATTGGCTGATGAGGGAAACTTTATACAGTGGGAGTAGTTGGGATCAAAGGACATTTGGTTGGTCAAAAACACTGAGGTTAAAAAGCCATGACCTGACCTCCACTGTCAAAATTGTGTAACATCACAATCAGAAATGCTTTATTCGTCCTACAGTAACATATTAAATAAAGAGGAAAGCACGTCTTAGTAAAAGAAAATCAAATGTATGCAATAAAAATAAGTAGCAGAATGATAAAAAGTTGGTGAACATATACAAGTAATGAGGTAGCATCAAGTGATAATATCAATAGTGCGTAAAAAGTGTAAAATGCACACATGGCACAGTCATCTCTTTAACAGTAGTGTAACACTCTGAGGTAGTGGACAGAGGTGTAAATAAATGACCTGAGATTCAAATTTGAGCTGTAGTTTTTGTGATGGAAACTTCTGGAGCAATGGAGACAGGACTCAGAGAGACACGGGGAGAGCAGGAACTTTGATGGCAAACACTGATGGTTTATTTGGAGCTTCGGTCGGAGAATTCACAAGACATGTGCTGTGCCACGAGTTGACACAGCGGCGTGCCAAACCAATTCTGAAGATCTCTCCAGACCCATGTATTTAGCTAGTTCTGAGAGAATAATCAACATTGTGCATAACATGATAAAACAGGCAAAGCACAATAACACCTCTTATCAGCTGACGCCAACAGGCAGGAATAGGGAGACAAAACACTGAGAGCAGCTGTGCTCAGTGAGGTCATTGCAAACTGATAAACTGGGTCAAAGTTATGGGCCTAAGAAAATATTTCCCCAACAGTTTTATCCTTATTTTGCCATGTAGTTGCTATGTGATGCTGGGTTGCTGTTTTGTTGTGTACTGGCTGTGGTAGGCGACCAATACACACTGTAACATCACCGTTGTGCCACCTCACTGCTATTTGCAATTTATTATTGTTACTACTGGCTGCTACTCCACTTCCACAGACTGCTACACCATTGCAGGAATCACTGTCAAATACACTTTCTCTTTATAACGCTGCTACTTATTTTATTACATACATATATGTAATGTATTTCCCAAGTCAGGGAAATGTATATATATATATATACATTTCCCTGACTTGGGTACTCTCCACAATGAAATACATGGAAATCAGTAAAAAAACAAACAGCTGATAGATGGCTCAGGGTTGCTGGGTTCACACTGTACTGGAGATAAAGAAAGTATGTGTCCTTTTTAGATTTAGTCACACATTCACTGCCTGACTGATTTGTACCTTTCTTTTGTAAAGGAAGACAAAGTGAGAATAAATCAAGAGTAAATGTGTTTGTTTTTTCAGGATGGCGTTGTCTCTGTGAAGGACATCGACCTGGTGATGTCAGAGGGGCTGGGAATGCGTTACGCCTTCATAGGTCCCATGGAAACAATCCACCTCAATGCACCTGCAGGTAACGTTCCCTCTCTGGAAGTGACAGAAAGGTAATCAGAAAGCAAGAAGAGGTGAAAGGTGCACATTTTTGTTTTATTACAGGTTTTTCGAGTATTTTGGGTTTCTCTTATTTTACATTTAGGTACAATAATAATCCCAACGACTAGTTTTAAAGATACTAACATGGATATTATGTGGTCTATCCAAGTGGTAGCCAGTTGTGATCACATTTTTCTATTTTTACCACCCTACACTACAGAATTTCTAAGTGATATAATTGTTGGTGCCGCAGCTGCAAATACATCCAGATTGCTCTTCTCTTGCTTCAAAACCTAGAAACTACCTAGAACCAAAGACACACTGCATTTTGTTTTCCACTTTGATTGTTCCCTCAGCCGCCATTTACGCGATTGAGGATAGAAATGCAAATGCTGTTTATAGGATACTAACAACAAGAACAACAACAACAAAAAGTGCAACCTGAATCAATTAATCTATTTAGAGATTGTACATGGTGGCGACCAATCAAAACACGGCTGTATCAATCCATCAAAGTTACAGGATCAAAATGTACTTCATAATGGCAAGTTAAAAAAACGAAAAAACGTGACTTTTAAAAATGAAGAATATAAAACCTTATATAAGTACAAAGCCTAGTGAATTTGTATCAGTCTTTCCCATATGCATGTAATACGAAAATAATGAGACGAACAATACTTGGCTTGACTGGGAAAAGAGTTAGTTGTAGTTTATACAACAACAATAAGACAAACCTACACATTATGTGACTGATTATTTATAGAAAGAGAAAATACTTTTTAGTGAAAAGATTAGTTTAAAAACTATTCTCATGACATTTATTCACGATGGCTCTCACTAAGAAAACCAGGCCCTTAGTTACAGAGATGTGAGAGTCAACAGTGACATGGCTCACAAATCTCCACACTACATACATGTACTGTACCATAGTGTGTGTCAGAGAGTGAGAGTGAACCCTCACTGAGATGGAGAATATCAAAGGGGAGTGTGAAACCCACAGAGAAACCCTGACTGTGTACACACACACACACAGAAAAAGGACGCTTTGGCCGAACAAAGCAGTCTTTTGATGGGCGGCCATGAATGCTCTCCCTCACACCAGTAATCTAAAACTCACAGAGCCCACATCGAGGCCTTCAAACCAGGTGCCAGCTCCACCTGTAGTTACAGTGCTGGCGCTTTCTGCTCAGGAAACAGTAGCATTATCATGTTCTCAAAAGATTGCTAAGAACTACTCCTGTTGTTACTTCCCGTCCTTGAATTCTCTCCAATCAGATACTGGAGCACTCAGGCTTTCTGTCTCTGTCTGAATGACTCTGCTGTTTTAAAACCATGTACCTGCACAGAAGAGCACCATAATCCACTGCAAACCTTCTGCAGTCTTCTAGGAGGCTCTGAAAAGTCTTCTTCTTTTATGCTATCGGCTTGGATTCACAACAGCTAACATGGTGATGGTTTCAAATCTAATATGCATTAAATTGTCTGACGAAACTTTTAAAAAACGTACAGTATAATCCAATTTTGAGGTTCTTAAATGTACTTGTGTTTTTACATGTTCTGCTATATAAACTTCTACTACAGCACATCTCAGAGAGAATAATGTCTTCATTGAATGTGTTTGATAACTTTAGTTACACAGTATATTCAGTTTTTATAACAAGATATAACCAACTTATAAGGAAAGATTTCACAAGCTACCTCGCAGTGTATAAAGTAGTTTAAATTAGCTCTACGTTTACCAAAATAATCATTTTTAGGGGCGACTGTGGCTGCGAGGGAGTGCGGTCGTCTTTCAACCAGAAGGTTGTGGGTTCGATCCCAGCCCGTGCAGTCAACATGTCGATGTATCCTTGGGCAAGATACTTAACCCTGAGTTGCTCCCGATGGCCAACGGTGTGTGAATGTTAGTTCCTAGAGTAAGGTACAATGCTCTGTATGAATGGGTGTGAATGGGTGAATGGCATGTAGTATGTAAAGCGCTTTGAGGGGTCGTAAAGACTGGATAAAGCACTATATAAGTACAGTCTATTTACCATTTACCATTTAAATCATGTTTCTACTAGTGTATCAGTAATTAAAGAAACATTTTTTACCTATGAAACAGATCATTTTGCATAATGAAAACCTTTTTTTATATATATTTAGCTAATACGATTGTAGTTGTATTGGAGTAGTTCTACATTGTGGTTTAACTACTACAAAGATCTCCGTCTGTATTCTCAGTATATTTGCTCAGTTTCGCTCACATCAGCTCAGTTAGTTGTTTATGTTTCTCATTAGCAACCAAAAGAAGTAAAGCTAGTGATAAGTGTGAATGAGTTAAAAACACATTGTGCTATACTGTGGAGAGCAGAAAAGTTTCTAAGGACACTTTTTGGCATTTCAACTGGATGACCTTTTAAAATGAGTGTAACCATTGCAACTCCAAACTGATTGCAGCTGCTGTCCTTGAGAAAGAAGTGACATATAAACTTTTTATAGCCACTATTCAAGGTCACAGAGTCTTTGTAACTAACTCAACTAACTCAAAAGATAGTTGGACTTAACCTCTTAAGCACGGCGGTCCCCCCATTGGACCCCTCCCACCGTTTTATTTTCGAGATAATGTCTCAGGGCTTCTTAACATTTATGAAACTATTAATGTGTAGCACCAGATTAACGGGAAGAATCTCAGCTAACTGAAGATATGAACCATTTTTACCAAAACAAAACACAAGTCTCATAAGAAGCGTCTGAATGACCCCTGAGCGAAAAAATGCAAACTGACTTTCCCACACAATTCAAGATAAAAATACCCTTATTACTTATCGTAGCTGCACATAACAACAACACGTACCTTTACGGAGCTTTTACGGCAGATCGTCTCACCGTAGCTGTCAATTAGATCAAAAGACGTGTTCAATGGCATTAAAACGGAAAAAAAAAATGCTGCAACTGTTGATCCATAGGTTGATAATGTACCTGTGCCTTTGAAGAAATTATTTATAATCCATAATTCCATTTTTATGTAAAAATCGGAGCGGAAAAGTTAGCTGCTAATGGTAACCACCAGAGTGTATGCAGCTTCCGGTTTTGGTAACGCGTCACTCTCACTCCTTATTTGTTAACGTTTTGGTGTGTATATAACTTTCCCTCGATTCCATTGGCTCTAGCGGTTATAAAGAGATTTCATTCATCAAAATCGAGCAAGGGGGGCCAGAGATAGGTCAAATCCACCCAAATGACCCCAGAAGTGGGTTTTTTTGGCTAAATCTCTCTAAAAAGGTCAGATTTCACTTGTTTTGCATCAATCTTGATACAAGGTACTTATTATATGTTGTACTTTGGATTCCTGAAGCTTTTAGTCTACTAACCCATCATCCAAGGGTAGTTTTCACTATAAGTAAAACATATTTTTTGGACGGACACTATAATTTACAGTTTTTTACTATGTTCAATCTGAATTTTCTTTAAAATAAAAAACATCTATATTGATTCTGACTTTTCTACATCCAACTCACAGGTTTATCATTACTTTGAGAATAAAGATTATTAATTTAACCCTTTTAGAAGGGAAGATATGGTCATTTGTTCTGGGAATGTCATTTTCGAGCCTGAGACCTGAAAAACAGGCTCAGGGCTTAAGAGGTTAAAGGTGGGGTAGGTAATTCACTTTAGAAACACTTGTTGTTATATTCCATGGAATGCTCTTAAAGGTGGGGTAGGTAAGTTTGAGAAACCGGCTCGAGATACACTTTTTGTTATATTCCATGGAATGCTCTTAAAGGTGGGGTAGGTAAGTTTGAGAAACCGGCTCGAGATACACTTTTTGTTATATTCCATGGAATGCTCTTAACATCCCGATAGCAATGAATATCTTAAGTGCTTTGACAACAAATCCATAAAAACATTTCATCTGTGGAAGCCGTGGCGCTGTAAAAAGCACGACCAATCATCTGAGCCGGCCCGGCTAAAATAACTGGATGGCCTACCTGCCTGTCAGCCTTCCATCTGTGCACAAACTTATCTCGTGCCCTCATTGGTCATGTGCGCGTTCGTGTGTGTTGGAGGAGGGGCTCTGTAAGGAAGTGGCAGATTTTTTCCGGTTGTGTATTTTCAAATTCTAGCGCACTCGAGCTGGTTTCTCCAAAATTACCTACCCCACCTTTAACATCCCGATAGCAATGAATATATTAAATGCTTTGACAATAAATACATACAAAAATGTCATCTGTGGAAGCCGTGGCGCTGTAAAAAGCAAGTCCAATCATCTGAGCCGGCCCGGGTCAGATAACTGGATGGCCTACCTGCCTGTCAGCCTTCCATCTCGTGCACAAACTTATCTCGTGCCCTCATTGGTCATGTGCGCGTTCGTGTGTGTTGGAGGAGGGGCTCTGTAAGGAAGTCTGAAGGAAGGGGCAGATTTTTTTCGGCTGCGTACTTTCAAATTCTAGCGCACTCGAGCTGGTTTCTCCATTCTTACCTACCCTACCTTTAACTTTTTAAGAATTGTTAACCAACAACACATGAAACACACCAAAGTAAATGAGGTTATCAATTGGTACTTTGCCACAAAATGTATTAAATAAATCTTGCTATCTTGATATATAGCATTAATACCACCAAGAAATGTAACATTGTAATCCTAGATTTAATCCTCTGCAGAAGTCTTTAGTAAATATAATGGAGTTGTTTTGGAAGCTCTTTGAGAATCTATCACAAAGATTATGTACCAGAGCCTTGTGTTTTAGGGTTAGTCCTTATAACTGGATTTTGAATAAACACATTTTGAAGGAAGTCCAACAATGGCAGCAAAGGACGAAAAGATGAAATGCATGTCAAGCAAAAATAGCCCTGGTATCTTCCTCCCACACAAAGTCTGTGTTTGGTTGAAGGTAGATGGCACTTATCACACTGCTCTGTCATATATAGTGAGTCCCACTAAGATTCATGTAAACATTCATATTTCAGCTTGGGCATAACAAAACATGGGATAGAAAAAGGGTTTAGAAACTTATCAAATGGTCAATTTTCACGCTACATGTTGTCACATATTTCCAAAATATTAAATATAATATTACATGTTTATTTGTGAGTAACTACAGCAAAAGAAAAACTTTAAGCTTTTACAAAATATGTTTGATTTGCATAATTATGTGCAAGTGCCACACTATTAAAGTCTTTTAAATGAACCTAATGTATTTCGTCAGAACTGTTTTAAAGGTCCCATGTCATGCTTTTCTGGTTATTACCCGTCCCCTTGTGTGTTATGTAGCTTTTTCTGCATGTAAACGGTCTGCAGAGTCACAAACCCTCAAAGTACACCCTGTAGCGAGTAAAACTCTAACACAGAAAAGACCTGTCTATGCTGCCCCAGAACGCCTCGTTGGAGATTTCTCATTTTCCATTGTTTACTTCTTGGGTATAGTGACGTATTTCGGGTATAGTGACGTAACGTAACGTCCGCGGAGCCGTTACGTTTGGACCAATCCGCGGACTTCCTCACACACACACACACTCGGCGGGACGTTGCGAGGCTCGCTGCTGCGAGGAGCGGGACACTGTGGGCTGGCTCACTGGTGTGGGGTCGGCGAGACAGCGAGCCACCGCGGAACTCAGCCTGAGCACACACACAAACTCCCAGCCAGGCTGCGGGTGTGTGTGTGTTTGTTTCGGGCTGGGTTTCGCTGTGTCTCGCTGTCTCGCAGATGGCCACTGGGCTCACAGGGAGGGGGGGGCAGGAGCTCCAACAAGCCGTTTAGGACAGCGAGTGAATACACATACTATACAGAGATGCTGTATGAGAAACCAATGTGAGTTTGGAAAATTGCACAATATAAATGTATTTTAGTAGACCTCAACAATGGAATTATGATCAGTAGAAATGGCCATGACATGGGACCTTTAAAAGACACTTTCTGACCTTAATTAAAGAGCTGATGTGAAGAACTTTTGCCACGTACTTATTGTTTTATAGATGGTTTTTTATTGCTTCAAAAATAGTTCCCACTGATGCATTTATTATCTCAGTACTGTAGAACTATACTGCTGGTCGTGTTAATGATATGTGTTGTTATTTGGTTGTTAAGGGATGTATCATTAGCTGTGTGTTGTCATTTGTCTACGTCCATAAACTGCGTCTACGCATGTTAAAGGAGCTAGTTCATTTTAGTAAGTACATTGTTATGAATAACCCAGTAAGATAAAAACAAGGACTGTTATCAGCTGTTATTCATGTTATTCAAGGAAAGGCAGCTTTGTAAACTGGCAGTGGATCAAACAAGTGGGTTTATAGCACATGTGTCAAACTCAAGGCCCGGGGGCCAAATCAGGCCCTTGGTGGATTTCATTTCGGCCCGCAGGATAATTTCTAATTACTATTAAATCTGGCCCGCCGGTATATTGCACGCACACCTTCACTCAATCCTGAGGGTTTCCTCAGCTCAGAGCCTGAGCCCAAACATTGATGAACTTGCACCCAAGATGAGATGCCAAGTATCTGCTTGAACTAGCATCACAGAGCAGCACACTGAGTTTACATGGATGTTTCCTTCTGCACTTTTTCTCTCACGACAACAGGGCATGTTTGTTTTTTTCTTTGAGGGAAATAGTTTTGTTGAAGCTGTTGTTGGCCTGTGGGAAAATGTAATCATAAGAAATGACTCTGGAAAAGCTGCAGATAGAGCCATAAGAAATGAATGCAACTGATTATTTAATGTTTAATGTTGTTTTTTTATAGGCAATAATTGAAGCTTAGTTAGTTCCAGGTTTAATATGTGCAATAAGTTCATTTCAATAAGTTCTGCTATAAACATTGAACCAGTCCGGCCCTCGACTAGTACCCATTTTTAAATGTTGGCCCACTGTGTATTTGAGTTTGACACCCCTGGTTTATAGGAACTGTCGTATATATTGGAAATATTAAAAGACAATTTATGCCCTTTTACAATTTATAGCGATTATGGAAGTAAGATTTTAACAATATAGCAAGTGTTTTACGGTTAAAAACGTACATCTATAGTTATAAAGGTGAGAGAACTTTAAGGCACAGGACTTCAGTAATTTTCATTCATTAGCTATAGGAAAACCCGAACCCTCATGTATTAATCTTTAACCGTTTACTAGTCCAGCACATTAATCATTCATCAGAAAAAGTGCCTGTTTCCTTATTCACAAATAAATCATTAAAGATTAATCAATAGGAGTAATAAGGGATTAACTTCCAATGATCACACCCAAAGTTAAACAAAGGCACACAAAAGCCTCAAAGAAGAAGCTGATAGTTATGTATAACGCTTTTAACATGTACTCTCAGCAAGGAGTTCACTAAGACACCCAGAACCGTGAAGTTGAGTTAATGAACGGGTTTAAAGTTTTAGACTTAGTGGTTCTCTGCGGTGTCAACACATTCAAAGGTAAATATTTTAAGATGATATAATGCATGCACCTAAACACAGCTTTGAGATATAACAAATGCAAATACAGTTGTCAGAAACGTTTCGTTCTGCAGAGGCATACATATAGCAACATGTCGCAGGTATTCCATAAACACATAGTACAGTAACAGTATAGCCTCGGGCGTCAAGTTGTTGAGAGTGAATCTTTAGGTCTGAGTCTAACTCGGTCGATTGCATAATCTTGAATAATGCAAAAATAATGTCATGACATCACGAGATGTGACGATATCTAGTTTATGTCAGCATTACGAGACACAGGGCAGATTTAAGTGCATGTTGAGCCATGATGTTTTTTTTAATTGATGTGTTTCATCACAGTATAAAGTAATTTAGTTTGGAGATAAAGAATATGCTTAAAGGTGGGGTAGGTAATTCACTTCAGAAACACTTTTTGTTATATTCCATGGAATGATCTTAACATCCCGATAGCAATTAATACATTAAATGCTTTGACAATAAATACATAAAAATGTCATCTGTGGAAGCCGTGGCGCTGTAAAAAGCACGACCAATCATCTGAGCCGGCCCGGCTAAAATAATTGGATGGCCTACCTGCCCGTCAGCCTTCCATCTCGTGCACAAACTTATCTCGTGCCCTCATTGGTCATGTGCGCGTTCGTCCTGTAAGGAAGTCTGAAGGAAGGGGCAGATTTTTTTCGGCTGCGTACTTTCAAATTCTAGCGCACTCGAGCTGGTTTCTCCATTCTAACCTACCCTACCTTTAAGTGCAGCACATCTAAGTTGGTTCAAAGCATTTCAAAATGTTATATTCGAAATCAATACAAGTAAATGAGAAACAGTCACGTCACACACATGAAGTAATGTGTGAACCTTCAATCACTTCAGGTTTGAAGCTTGTTTTCAATTAAATCAAGGGTATATTTATGTATTTTCCCCTAATCTGCTTTTTTCTGGAGTGTAGCTGATGTTTTCACTTTTTAAAAATAAGTTTGAGGTTTTAAAGCATATGATGTGTATGTGAACCAAAGGCTGTGAGATGTGTGCCCATGTTCTCCCCCTCCTGATCAGCTGTCCTCCCCCAGGTTTGGAGGACTACATGAAGCGGTATGGAGAGGGAATAACGAGGGTCCTGAACTCCTTTGGGCCGGTACCAGACTTCTCCGGCGGAGAGGCAGCCAAAAGCATCGCTAGTGTAAGTATGATGGAGGTAAAAGAGATAACACTTTTACTGAAACATCCTAGATTTCATAGACTGAAACTTAAAGGTCACCTACAAGCGGCAAATTCCACTTGTTCATGTCTCTTCTACATCAACATGTGTCCCCTCTGTGTAAAGAGATTCTGAAAGTTTCAGGAAAAAAGATTCTCTCTTTTTGTCCTGATCCATTTATATAAAAACCTGTCTGAAAATGAGCTGATCAGATTTTGGCCACTTTATGATGTCATAACGATTTTTTGGCTTGTGTAACCATTAGCCAATCACCAACCAAGGTAACCCCCCCCCCCACCTTATCACCTGAATCTCCTAACCCATCATCCAAGGGTAGTTTTCACTATCTGTAAAAAATAATTTTTGGACGGACACTATAATTTACAGTTTTTTACTATGTAAAATCTGAATTTTCTTTAAAATAAAAAACATCTATATTGATTCTGACACTTCTACATCCAACTCACAGATGTAACCTTGCTTTGATAAAAGAAATTATTCATATAATCCTTTTAGAAGTTAACTTGTAGTCATTTGTTTTGGGCATGTCATTTTCGAGCCTGAAACATGAAAAACAGGCTTGGTGCTTAACAGGTTAACCAAATATCTCTCAGAGGGGCGTGGGGAGTGGCTCCTTATTTTCATCTAAAGTAACAGACAGAGAATCAGCACTTTTGAAACAGGGCAGAAACAGAGGGGATTATGGGATGCTGCAATGATCTGTTTGGTGTTTCAGCCAATCAGAGACAGGTTCTGTATATATCTGAGACCTGTAATATATTGATGAAAAACAGTATAATAGGGGACCTTTAATAATCAAAACAGATATTATTCCCTGATTTCTTCCTGCTGTTACATTGAATGAGTGTTTTGTTGATAGTGTGTTTAGTTCTGCATGACTGAAAGTCAAGAGGTCCTTCTCACCCGGGCGCCAAATTGCTCTCTCCTACGCAGCATTACTTAGTCACATGCTATCACAGGCTGTTAAAACGTTAGCCACAGAAGGTCACTAAGTGAGGAAACCCTGAGCCGGTGCAATAAATAGTTTCAGGTCAAATAGTTTAGAAAGCAGAAACAATCCATCTGGTTTCCTGCTGCTTTTTTCCTCGCTTAGAAACTTCTACACTTCAGTTGTTGAGAAATCTACACTCTCAGTACAGGCTTTCACTTTAAATGTTGTCTTTGCAAGTTGTATTTTTACAGATTCACACCTTGGAGCGACATTTCTACTGTGACCCCCAACATTTAGCTTGACATTATTACGTTTTAAAGGACAACTTTTAAAGGACTTGAGAGTTTGACCCCTTTATTGGTTTGAAAGGCACTTCAGTTTGTAGATTGCTCTTATGAAGGAAAGCAGCTGTAGTCAGTTCCGATCCACAACAAACTCAAACAGAAACCCAGGATCATAAAGTATGAAATCAGCCATTACATTTCTGAAACCGCTGCAGCAACAGGATTTCTCTGCTGTCCATCCACTTGAAATCTTGCCTGCAACCTCAACTTCAAAAAGCTGTGAAACCTCAACAGATCATGGGAAAAGAGTGAAATAACATTTAGAAACAGTGGTGGATTTGTTTGTTTTTTTTGCTCACTGGCCTGCAGCTAAAATAATTGTCACGTCTCTTCATTATGCCATGCTTATTTTTTTTCTCATAACAGTTCAACTTTAAGGGCTTATCCCTCATTTTCTCCACGCACTGTTGTCAAGACAGATATGTTACCTCTGTGGATATTTAGACACTGCACACCTGACCTGATTGACCTAGAATAGAATAGAATCCTTTATTGTCCCTATACAGGTACGATGAGATGAGTAGAGCTTTTTTCTTTTTTTTACGGTGCCATCAAAAATACAAAAAAACAAACGAGACGTACAACATTCAGGAGAAGACAACATACAAACAACAAGCAATGAATATATTAAATGCTTTGACAATAAATACATTAAAAAATGTCATCTGTGGAAGCCGTGGCGCTGTAAAAAGTACGACCAATCATCTGAGCCGGCCCAGCTAAAATAACTGGATGGCCTACCTGCCTGTCAGCCTTCCATCTGTGCACAAACTTATCTCGTGCCCTCATTGGTCATGTGCGCGTTCGTGTGTGTTGGAGGAGGGGCTCTGTAAGGAAGTGGCAGATTTTTTTCGGTTGTGTATTTTCAAATTCTAGCGCACTCGAGCTGGTTTCTCCATTCTTACCTACCCCACCTTTAAAGTGCAGGATATATATCGGTTTAAGTAAAATAAATATGTTTGAATGTGTATACAAATATTAGATTGGGAGTGTGATTGTAAAAGGCCAGAGAGACATCTTATTTGATGATTAGTAGGCAAAAAAAAAAGGTCTAAGAATCAAACCTTAAACCTTAAAGCCAGTGTAGGTAGGCCAGTACGGGGGGAATGTGCCTCTTCATGTTTGTTCCTTAAGGAGAAGCTGCAGCACTCTGCACAAACTGCAAGTGGGAGGAGGTTTGAAGGTGAAGAACACTTGACCCTAAAGTCCAGTTCATTTGATTAATGTAAACACTGTGTCATACCAGGGCACGGTCTACTGATCCGTGTCCACTTGAAAAGCTGGTTTTGCTCATGGTTCATACTTGGGTCGCATGAGGTGGGAATACCAATATATCAAATCATGGAAGTGGACTACTATCAAAACAAGAAATGTTAAGATGTCATGTTGGGTCTGTGGCCATTTTCTGACCTTTCATAGACTAAACCAACTATCATTAGATTAATCAATAATGAAACTTTTTTTTTTTGTTGCAGCCCTACCTTAAAGTGTTCTACAATTGTTTTTTTCTCACACGTCCTTTCTGTCCACAGGAGATGTGTGAGCTGGTTCCCAAAGACCCGCAGCATCTGTCGGCCCGGATTGAGCGGAGGGACCAGCTGCTCATGGCTCTGGCCAAACTGAAGCAGGACCACTGAGATGAAGTGCCCAAAAACCAGAAAAAGAACTGTGACATTTGGTAAAAAGATAAGAATCAAGCTGACAGACATCTCACAAAAAGATATCTTTGAAAACAGTCTGGTATTTGTTAAGTGATAATGAATACATGTTCCTTTTATGGATAATAACGGACATAACTTCCAGTATTTTAATAAAAAATCTACCCATTAGGGAAGCAGGGATCAAGTTTTTTCCAAATTAACAGTACATTTAATATTTTTGTCTGCATGATATTAAGACTAACATTGTGGTTATTAGGGACTGGAATTTAAATCCTCTCACCACATAATGATCATCTGTGAACAAATGTGAAATCATGACGGATAAAAACCATGAAATACTTAGTTTACGTAATCGTTTTATTGTGACTTAACACAACATGTTGGATCCTTTTCACATAAAATAATAAAACTGTGAAATGAAATCCTGCAGTGGTCTCTGTTCCCTCCACCAGAACCAATGGATGATGTGCGCTTCATTAACGCTGACTGATAAGTTCCTGATCCCAGGAAAAGTTGAATGGAAACACTTCAAGAGTTTTACTCACTGTGACTTCTCTGCTCTGCTCATGTTGCAGATTTCATTTCACAGTGAGATCCGACCATCACATGATCTTACTGTGCGGACTACATCTTTCAAATGTTAGAAAACAAATTATATACAAACATTTTATACAGTATATTTAATAATGGATGGTGCCAGACGTGGTGTACAGGTGACAGGAATTATTATGCCTATACATTACATGTTAGACGCTTTTATCCAAAGCGACTTACATACTCAATACTGTGGGCAATCCCCACAGGAGCAATTTGGGGTGAAGTGTCTCAGGGACACAACGACATGCTGACTGCAGTGGGGTTTGAACCTGTGCTCCCCTGATCCGAACACCAACGCACTAGTCCACTGCGCCACACGCCGATCCCTACATAGTCTACATATATTTAATATTGTGTTTGAAAAAGGTTGAATATCAAAAATAAAAACATGTTTATACAATACAACAGTAGAGATATATTAAAATAGAGGTTGAATTAAATAAGTTAGTGAGTTATACTGTGTATATATACAGTAATACAGTAGGCCTATATACAAACAGAGGTTTGATCTAATGTATATATAATATATATATAAGTCAATGTGTACATTAACACAATATTGTGTTGTTTATAGGTTCAACACAGTATACAAACATTACAATATTAGTATATTTGTACATATACTAATTATTTTGTTTGAAAGGGTACCAAAAATATACAATATTAAAGGTAGGGTAGGTAAGTTTGAGAAACCGGCTCGAGATCGCTAGAATTTGAAAATACACAACCTGAGAAAATCTGCCACTTCCTTATAGAGCCCCTCCTCCAACACACACGAACGCGCACATGACCAATGAGGGCACGAGATAAGTTTGTGCACAGATGGAAGGCTGACAGGCAGGTAGGCCATCCAGTTATTTTAGCCGGGCTGGCTAAAATGATTGGTCGTGCTTTTTACAGTACTACGGCTTCCACAGATGACATTTTTTTATGGATTTTTTGTCAAAGCACTTAAGATATTCATTGCTATCGGGATGTTAAGAGCATTCCATGGAATATAACAAAAAGTGTATCTCGAGCCGGTTTCTCAAACGTACCTACCCTACCGTTAATGGTGTATTTTAAGTTTTTTTAAATCGGATGTTGGATCAAATGTTTATATATATTAATGTGTAAATATACTAACTAAATATTGTGTTTAAAAAAGTTGATAATGAAAGATATAAACACGTTTACAAGATATATACAATTTATATGGTGTAAACTACATGAGTTTAGTATAAATCTGAGGTTTTTAAGTTGTAATTATGAATGGTAGAATATTCTGAAATGGGCTTTTCTGTATAGTAATTTTACTCAAGTTTGTTTTGATTGGTTGATTGATTGAAAAGTTTATTAACAGCTTGTATATTGGGTACAGTACAGTACAGCTCAAAACATACAATTGTTAAGGGGATGCAGACCAGAGAAAGACTTTCGTCTTGTTTACATCAGGGTCCCCCATTTCCAATTCATCATATCATTTAAGACATATAAGACATATAAGACATATTTGACATACAGACATACAGGCTTATTTACAATTTACATACAGGTGGTTTTTTACATACAGATGGCTTAATTACAATTTTCATTTTAGATTTCGTTCTAATACATCCTAACCGGACATTTAAGACATACCAAGTCTACAGATATACAGTTAGTAACAGAGTCTAAAATGCGAGTATATACATAGATGGGGGGGGGAAGCTGTCCATTGTACGACAGGTTGAGATTTGTACCATTACCGGGGCCAGTTTTGCAATGCTCTCCCCCGAAGGTGCTCTTTAAGAGAGGTTTTGAAGGTAAGTATAGTTTTACTTTCCTTTACAGTTGTGGGAAGAGCGTTCCACCTTGATGTGGCATAGTTGCGAAACGTGTATTCCCCCTTTTTTGTGCCAAATCTGGGTTTTACATGATTTGTGGAGCTCCCTCTGGTGTTATGATCATGGTATTCCTTGACCTTTGGGAAGAATTTTAACATGTACATGGGTACCATAGAGGTGTAGTGGATCTTGTAGACCAGGCCCATTGCAAGTAGCTGTACTCTGTCGTCTACTCTAAGCCATCCTAGGTTGTCAAAGTGGGCAGAGGTGAGGTGGGTTCTAGATGAAAGGTCAAGCAGTAGTCTGACCAGTTTATTTTGCGATGTTTGAAGTTTTATTTTTAGCGCCTTGGAGGTGCTATGGTACCATGACGTGCAAGCATAGTCATAGTACCCTTGAATGAGTGCTCCTGCCAGAGTTTTCAGGGTGTTTTTGTTTACCAGAGAGGAGATCCGGTATAGGAATCTAGTTCTTTGATTGACTTTTTTTATTACATTGGATGCCATTTTGTCACAGGAGAGGTTTGCCTCAAGAATAGATCCTAGGTATGTAATTTCCTTCTTACTTGTGACAATAATGTCACCCACTGCAACTGAGAAGTCGTCGGATTTGCTGAGATTATGTTTCGAACCGAAGAGAATGGACTCTGTTTTACCCAAGTGTAATGACAATTTATTATCGGCGAGCCAGGTGCAGATTCTGCCGAGCTTGGAGCTGAGGGTTTTTTCAACCTGCAATCTGCTCCTGTCAGAGACCAGCAGGGCTGAGTCGTCCGCGAACAGGAACAAGTTGCAGTCACATGCTGATGACATGTCATTTGCATAAATTAGGAACAGTAACGGACCTAATATGCTTCCTTGTGGAACACCACAGCTCACTGGGAGGGGGGGGGGGGACAGAGTACCGTTTACCTCCACCATCTGTTCTCTCCCCTCCAGGTAGGATTGCATCCAGCTCACCGATAGTTTATCAAAACCAATTGCTTTTAGCTTGTCAATCAGAATGGGGTGATTGAAGAAAGTTGTGTTCTCACAATGAGAAAGTTGTGTGCACCCCTGCCTATATATATACATCCATCAGCAATCAATAAAACACATCATCCAACACAAAATAGAAGAAATCTGGACCTATTCTATTTCTTTTTATACAACAGCATCTATTGGGACTGCTCATTGATGTCATCAAGAGCCATTGAGTCTACCTTCTGTAGTCGGCCTCTCAGAATGTTTATCATTTCTTTGTCTCTTAACATTCCTATAATCATTTGTTTTCTTATTGTTGGTATTGTGTTGTTCTTTATTTTTGTTGGGAGAATCACTTTGCAATTGTGTAAGTGCTATATACAAAGTTATACTAATATTATTGTTGTTACCATCATTACTATTATTAATAATGTCTTCTTTGTTTTCTTTATTTATCGCTGCAGAAAGGTTCAAAAAGTTCCCTGTACATGGAACCATGCCTGTCCTCTGTTCCACATCTCTTCAGTCCGTTCTGGACCCCATGACTCTGTTCCACATGTCTTCAGTCCGTTCTGGACCCCATGACTCTGTTCCACATCTCTTCAGTCCGTTCTGGACCCCATGACTCTGTTCCACATGTCTTCAGTCCGTTCTGGACCCCATGACTCTGTTCCACATGTCTTCAGTCCGTTCTGGACCCCATGACTCTGTTCCACATGTCTTCAGTCCGTTCTGGACCCCATGACTCTGTTCCACATGTCTTCAGTCCGTTCTGGACCCCATGACTCTGTTCCACATGTCTTCAGTCCGTTCTGGACCCCATGACTCTGTTCCACATGTCTTCAGTCAGTCCTGGACCCCATGACTCTGTTCCACATGTCTTCAGTCCGTTCTGGACCCCATGACTCGGACACTAGTTCTACCAAGGCTCATTAGAGGTAAGCAGTGGTAGGAGAGTGGAGTTATCTTTGTATTTAGGCTGCAAGTCGACAAGAATAGATTACAAATCGCTTAAAAAATGGTTCAGACAAGAGGCACCATGTGTTACGCAGGTGTGGCGCTAATATAGTTTATATAATATGTGGTTGAACTTTAAAATTAAATTATTTCCGGTGCAGAGACAAACACTCGAGGTGGTACATAAAGTACATACTGGTGTTAATAAAATATAGCGTATATCCCTCAATTTATCGACAATAAGAATGACAATACATACTTCCGGGTGTAAAGTAATATATCTATCATACTGTAGATCCTACACATCCACTGGAAGAAGATTCTGAAAGTAAAATATACACTTCTCACTAGAAATGTAATCATAAAGCATTATTATGGCCAAACTATCCTACAATTCAGGATTTTCCACTGAAAAAAGTGTTGGATTCAAGATTCAAAGGTTTATTCTCATATGCTCAGCAGCTACAGTGAAGAAATGTCAATGCAATTCTTCTGACCTGAGCTCCTCCAACAATGCAACATATATAATAAAATACAAAAATACAAAATAAAAAGTAGTGCAAAAAGTTTATATACATGTAATATAATAGAATATGATATTTACAAGAACAGAATATTAAATAAAAAATTAAATACGGTGTATTGCGTGGACAATAGACCCAATCACAGTGAATGTTCAAAACTAAACTTGATACATTTTTCTTTTTCATCTCACAGTGCACATATTTAAGTAATCATAACACAAAGCTAAAATGTAATCTGTTTTTCCTTTCTCTTTTCAAGAGTGCTTCAGAGGATGGCTGAATTCACAAAACGTGGAGAAGACCAAGAGGGAGAAGTTGGCCGGTTACTACATTTCACAAAAAATACAGGACCTTGTGAAAAGCGGAAAGAAACAATTGAAGGAAACTGCTTAAAAATATGAAGTAATGGGTGTTTTGAAAATGTTTTCAAATGTGTGTTAATGTTCATTGTGTGTTATAAATTATTTTCCTGATTCTAATCATTTGATGTATGAGTATTTATTTACAGACATTCTATACATTCTGGTACCTTTCTGGTAAGGTAGGTGCTCTGATCTGAAATGATAGATGTTCATTG